TATACGAACTAGCCTTAGTTCGGGGGCTTAGGAATAGAGGCGCGCGCGCGTCGTATGCGTCGCGCTCGGGGTCCGTAGACTCTATATAGTAAAGTGCCTATTTTCTAAGTAACCTTCGGGCTATTTATATAAAAGCCGGCTAGTTAAACTAGCTATATAGGAAGTAGCCGCTTTCGGAACTTTATCCTCCTTCTAGTAGGCTAAATGCCGTACCTAGAAGGGCGAGGGTTTAATTCCCTTAACGACCGCTACTCGATAAGAGGGTTAATAAGTCCCCTACTACGCGGCGTATACGTTACCGCTGCTGTCCGTAAGGGTCTTATATCTATAGATCTCTAAGTAGGTTGTTTGCTAAGTAACCTACCCTAGTAACTACCCCTTATTAATATTCTTTCTATCTTATAGATTTCTCTTCTATACATCTACTTTTTATTATGCCGCTACGTACTCCCCGTAAGCGTCGCGTACCCGACCCGCCGGCGACTCCTACTTAAGCGTCGGCGAGTAAGCGCCGCGCCGTCGAGGTGCCTACGGCCTATCGCCGCTATACGCGGTTAGTACACCTTCGTATTAGCTATCGCTATAACGCTGTCTTTAGCGCGTTTAAGCGTAAGTGCGACTACTATAAGTAAGTAACGCTTATTCGAGACGCCTACTCCCCTCTTACGTAGCGCTAACTTCCCTTAAAGGAACAATTATTATAAGTATAAACCCGTGCCGGTAGCGATACGCCTACGCTACGATAGCATTATAGCTACGGCCTAAGAGCTTAATCTAGTAGATACTACTAAGTAGAAGGGCAGTTAGGAGGAAGCTAATTACAAGGCGGCGGCAAATACCTTTAGTGTTAAGTTAGATACTTAGATCCGTATTAACGAGCCTACCTCGGGTGTATAGCGTAAGAGTAGCGTAGTCGAGGCGCCTAATCTTACTCGCTTAACGAACAATCTTATAGCTATTACTTAAGTCGGTCGTGTCGTAAGTATCTCGCCTGCTCCTCGTATGCGTCTATAATGCTAACCGTCTATATAGTAGTTAGAGATAATAGGGTAGTCTACTAATGCCTTCGATGCTACCCTTACTAGAAACGAGCTATTCGAGGAGGAGTCCGAGGCGGAGGAGAATAAGTTCGAATAGAGTACTTAGCGCGTTCTCTAGGCTTGCGTAGCGTATGCGCCTATCTTATAGTATAGTCTATAAAGTAATCCCCTTTAGGTCTAACTATAATAAAACTACTTAATTCTTATTACTCCTCTTCTATTTTACTCCGCTCTACTTCCGAGCCTCTTTTACTACGCGGCCTTTACGTATGCGCGGAGCCTACGCCTCGAACCTATCGAGAGCTTCGTAGTCTTTAATATATGTACTAGGTTCCTACTAGTTATATTCTAATAGCTATCTACGCTACTTTACTAAATAAAACGTTTCGCCCTTCTACACCCTCTTATTAAGAATCTCTTTAACCTCCTACTACCTATCCTCGTCGACTACGAGTAGTATACGCTCCTCTTACGCTTTACTCTTCCGGCTAGAATATAGCTCTAATAGAGTAACGTAGAAGACGTTATAGATCCTTACTAAGGTAG